AAAACTCTTTTGGGTATTTTTTCGCATTGTTTTTTTATATATATTTAAACAGCCTCTTAGCATCTATTACTTGCTGGAAGAGAGGAAGTATTGTAAGTAGAGGAAGGGACAGAGAGGCAGTAGTGTTAGTGTACGCACGAACATTTAGATAAAAAATAGTACTCGAGTAAACTACCATAAAGGCGGGCAGGACAGTTAAAAGATGAACTGTCGAGAAATACTATTTCAAAACACTTGATTAACGAAGAATTCTCTTTGATCCCTGAAGAGATGATCAAGAGTATGGAGAATGTTTTCAACACACTTGCCACACATCTCTAAATCTATGCTTTTCGCTTCGTGCGATTGAGTCCCTTAAAGGAATACTCAGATTCTTCCATTCACATCTTGTGAATGTACTCTAATCTGTAAAGAACGGAGGTGTTATAGATGTCAAAAGTGTGTCTTTCACAAGTCGGACATAATTTGATTGCTTGCTAGTTCAAATCTATTTATTTCCAGTCTACGTTCAAACGAATTAAGAGAAACTATATAGAGAAAAGGAGGGCATTGCTAAGAAGCAAGTAAAGAGTTCTGTTTGTTCAAAGTGTTGTTATAATATTTTTCTTTCAAAGCGAATAGTTTACCATATTTTTGGGCTTAAAGCACTAACTAACAAGCGTACATAAGTCGAAGTAATTATATAAATCACTCCTACAAAGTACCCGCGAACATTGGCTTGACAGTCGGGAGGGAGGCTTATAATCTCGTCTATGGATTTGCTAATTATTTGCAATCTTTGGCTCTCCGAGGTAATCGTGATGGCAGCAGTTATTTATTTATAGCACGATGTACAAGTTTTTCGATTAATTTTTCGAAGAAATGTTCGGATTGCATTCAAAGATCGAATCACATAAATTGGTATTTCTATTACTTTTACTATGTGGCATAACATCGCTCCGTCAAAGTGATGTAATTTTCTATATCTACTCTATCAAAAATGTTGCGATGTTAATGTTATTGTTGTTGGTGTTATTTGTCGTTAATGCTGTTGCGTTTTCACTTCTCAGGCAATATATTTATGAAATCAATGCCTAACGTTAACGCATAAACTAATGCCATTAAATAGAGCGACCGACCGTCCATTGACTGAATATTAAGATTAAAACTGTAGCGATATTCAAGTAGATTTAACATTTGTGTTGATTATGCTTATATGCATTTATTTAGAAATATATAAACAGACATATACACTTATAAACCCGGTTCAACATGTTTTTCATATATATATAGAGTGAGTTCAACTAAAAAGTGGTGGTGAAAACTATTTGAAATGATTTTTTTATATAAACAAAATATGAAAACAGTTCAAAATGTTTTCTTTCTTTCCTTCTTTCTTTCTTTTATTTTTTATTTTTTTTTTTGTTTTTGTTGTTGTTGTTGTGCTTTTCCTCCTTTGGCTTCCCGAATTTTGCAACGAAAAAGAAAGACACGTATTCAGTATAAATTATGAAATTATTACGCTTGGCAAAGAGTGTTATAAATGCCTATTATATATATATATATACAAACACATACATACAAACTGAATGAAATAATCGATAATGCATATGCAAGTAGACAGAATTAACGTTTTTATGAAACGCATACACGAAAGCTTTCAATTTATGTAAAATTTTAGTTTTTGTTTTTGTTTTTTTTTTTTTTTTAGTTTGCTTATAATCAATGCATTAACATGACTACCGGCATTTGTCTGTAACGGTTTTTTGTTTTAACCAATTATCAATTTAGGGTAATTGAGGCCATCCTTAAAAATTTCTTACAACATCTATGCCAATAAAGAGCGTACTTGTGTTCGCACTTTTACTTTTTACACTCGTCGACGCAGGATGAGGGATATATTCATTTTGGCAAAACGTTTGCAACGCCCAAAAGAAAGCTTCAGATACCCCGTGAAGTATATATATTCTCGATCAGCGTTAAATTCTAAATCGATTTAGGCATGGCCGCCTGAACGATTCCCCGTCCGTCCGTCTGTGTAATGGCTGTTGTAAACATTCTCCTGACCGCTCAAGTGGACACAAACATTGGAAGTATGTTAGCATTGAGAATAGGCCAAATAGGTCGAAGGGCTTGCCTACGTTATCACGTAAATTAAGAGTCCTTCTGCTTTTCCCAAAGAATAAAAAAAATGGTTTTTTCGCTCAATCTACAAAGATTTGAGAGTATATTCTATCGGTAGAGCTGTAGTACCTGAACAAACCCGGGAAAAATTGACCAGGCCTATCCGTTATTAGTCATCAAAATTTAATTGTTTTTTCAATACCTTTACAACGCGTAGAAGCAGGCTTCAAAAGCCCCATAAAGTATATACATTCTTGGCACTGCAGCTCGTAATGCACTTAAGCAAGTCTGTCTGTCTGTGTTTGTCTGTCTATCTGCCCAACTGTGCGGTATCTGCGGTAAAAGTGCTCCGATTCGCAAAAATGAAAATACCGCCTCCATATCTGCACGCTATATACGCATCTCAGTACTATATATATATATATATATGCACAGTGCTAGAATGAACGCATTGCCATCTTTCGAAGGTGCGCATAAAAATCAAATCAGCTGCAGAAAGTGTTTTTTTTTTGCTAAAATGTTAAAAAATTACTTAAACTGGTTATAAAAGTTGTATACACGCCCGTCCTGGTGTTTGTCCTGGTGTTCGCTTAAACGAACTGTAAGCAGCGATGTAATTTTAGTAATTAATAGTGTGCCACCAGCTGAAAAGAAATGATGCAAAATCGTTTGACGTCGACAATTATTCATTACGTGTTACTTTTTGTGCTTGTATGGTTGATTTTTACAACAAGAGCATACAACCCACATTCCCGAGGGTTAAATTGTTTGTGTGGAAAAGCAGCCAACGTGTAAATATGTTTTTAATTTCTATTACATAAATCAACGCAACAGCAACAATTGTAACGAAAATTTTTAAATCTATATATATATAAGAGATCGAATATTTCGCTCACATTACGTGCATCCTTACATGTATCTCCGTCTTTCCACCAACTGGTCAGACGATGTTAATCGTTGCAAGAATTTTCATTGCTAGGCGGTTGAAATTCGCCACAATACACGAAATACCTGCACCGTTCATGCAAAAGGCATAGCACTTTTGTCGCACATAGATATCTGGGAACAATTGAATGCAGCTTTACCTAGCGTTCTACATAAATATCGCTATTTTCAACCTAAACTGCAGTAAAGCGCATTTCATTCCTTTTAAAAGAAATCTCAACCAAAGTGTAAAGAACTCTAGTGTGTATGTAATGCAAAGCAATTTGTGACATATTATAAGAACCAATTGCTATATCCTAAACTACTGGGGATGCAAGTGTACATTAAGATTGTGTGGATGTACACAATATTCAGAACTTCAGAAATAGATCGATCGATCGCTTTCTGAATCAATTTAAATTTGTCTGTCCATCTTCATATCTCGTGTTCAATCTACACACTATGTGTTTTGAACATGCCACAGCAAATCTATATGTCAAATGCGTATTCTCTACTATGTTATAAATTAGAACTATGCCCTACACCAATGTATCGGGATATATAAACTTTGTTAGGTTTGCAATCCTTGCCATGACTTGGGATAAGCCTACTTTTTATTGCGGCGATCGTTTTTGAAACTTGTGTGTCCATCTGTCCGAAAGTGTATCTTGTTTGCTTTAGTTCAACCTACAGACCGCAATTTTTTTAGATATTTCGATAAAAATTTGCACACTGGCGCGTTTTGGCCCAAGGCTGAACCTTAGTTTGAATCGGATCACGTTTTCAACTATTCCCCATAAAATGTCGCATTTATAAAAGACGTTATATGAATAACTATAAGATGGCATAGAGTCTTCTGGTGGTGGCCCGTGATCTACTATAATGTATTTACTTGTGTGTAACAGTAAAGTTGCTTCAATCAACTCACGACACCGCCTAAATCTATTCCGACCAAGAGAATGCACATTCTAAAGGGTCTTCGACTTTCTGCTGCTACGTATAATTGGTGGCGATATATTACTAACACACATGGTCACAGTGTATTCATTTTATATTTGCCCCGGATATTTATTGGGAAACATGAATAAGAAAGCAAGGCCGATCTTTCTTAAGCGATATAATGCTTACAGCTATCTAAAGCCAACTATTCTATCGCAGCTGCGGATTTCATAGCACATCTTTGCGATCAAAGGCCCTCGAATCTATATGTCTACAAAAGATTTTATTTATTTTAATATCTTGCGATGAAATCCTTGTCTTGAAATGTTCAGATCTTTAATGTAGCGTTTCTTTCGACTATCATTTTTTTAAAAGGTTAACATCTTAAGTCTTTCGCTTTCTTTTGATTTTTTTCAAAGTTCGTGTCTTGAGTCTTTCATTTTTTATTTATTTTGAAAATAAGAACGAGCAGCAAACTGAACCGATTAATAATCCATCTGTCTGTGTTGCCTATTGAAGCAAAAATGGAAATAATTATTTTAACTAAGTAACAACATTTTCGTTAAACAAAAAAAAAAAAAAAATAAATAAACGCATAATTAAAAATGTATATAAATCATTATTAGCATTTTGTTCAACTTAAATGGTGATGTGTTCTCTCGATCTCTTTATCAAAGATAACCACTATAACCAGAAAGCGACAACCAGTTATGGTCTTTAGGTTACATGCTAGCATCATATAGGCGATGAAGACGAACACATTTAACGAGAAAGAAAAAAAACAAAAAAATACCGACAAATAAAATTAACTGAACACAACACACACAACGAAGCAGCGCACAAGAGGCTAAACACAACGTTGTATTATTATTATAATTATTGCATAATATTGTTGAAGGCACAAACATTATTAGGCGACTGTGACTTTGTGACTGACTTAAAGAAATCTTACTCGTCTTCTTTGCTATTATCTGCCGTTTGTCGGTTTGTTTATCACCTACTATTCGCTGCTGTGTGAATGAAGGTAAAATCATTTTGCTTCAAAGGCTCAAAGTAACGGCAAATAGAGTAAAAGATGCTACCAATGGTTGCAAAAAGAAAAAAAACAAAAAAAATCGAAATTTTCCCGCGCACTTTTCTAAACAAACACATAACAGTGTTTATGTGCTATGTTTACATTGTCTGCCTGCGAATTTTTTTCCCATATCATAAAATTGTGTTGCAGTGATTGCATGTTAAATTATTGTTAAGACTCTCCAGAAAACGTCTATGCTTTGTTACATGCATATGTATGTGTTCGCCTCTACCAAAATATGTGCACATATACTTACGTCATATGATAATATACCGGTAAGTGAATAATAACTTTGCAAAGCATCGTCAAATTTCCCTACTATTCTCTCTTAACCCTGTCACGATTATAGGTTTGTTTTCCACAAGAGCGTTCCGTGTGAACCGGGATCTCACCGCATTATTACTCTCGTAGCATCTTGGCCAACGCATCAGAGGCATTATACAGTGCATATATTCTGGAGAGTTTACACTAATTCACGTCAACTCATGCCTGTCTGCCTAACCTTAGTACCCTTATAATGACAAAGATTGGTGAAGGAAAATCAAACTTGGCGCATACGTTCCCAGGGAATGATTGGTAGATTTTAAGTCGCATTCTGAGCAACATCACAAAGGCATCACATGTTACAAGGGATTACTTTGGTGTGTGATTTGCGTTATTTAACGCGCGTTTTCTTATAACCGCTCCTTCGAAATACCAAAATTAATACGAAATCAAAACAACTATAACAAAAACACATATTGTTTTCCTCTACGATTAGCGATCGATCATAACGCCAAAATACCCGTTAATTGAAAATTCATGAGCGACTACATAACTGAAAGTCGCTTGATATTGCGCCAAAGATAATTTTTTAGGGGCATATTTTTTTCGCTTATTTAAGACTGAATTTGAGAAAAACAAGTAAGAACTCTACAGTGGGACCAATTCGACCATTAGATACCTTACATCACTTTCCTTAATTAATAATACTCCAAACGTTACACATTATTTTTATGCAAATCCATAAGTTTCATGAAAGACCCCATTGGTGGAGGATACTCGAACGTCCACTTGATCTAGGAAACTTAATTCATTTGTCAAAGATTTTCTTATCTTGCACCTGCTTCAGTCATAACAAAACGCAACTTAGACTGTAACAACACGCAAAGTGTTGCGTTCATAAGACCCCTACAAACGGAGCGATTTCAAAAATAGATCTATGCTCTCCAAATTCCCTCTGGTTGATTTGCTAAAGTCAAATTTTCATCACAAAATATCAAAAATTACACTCATATTACAATATAAAACCTTATCTTTCAATAGAACCCTTATATGAGTTGGGATCCCAAAAATAGACCTACTTGATCCAATTTCGGTAAGACTAATTGTTATGTCAAATTATTATTATGAACGAATTTTCATCAAGAAATATTGAAAGTGACCCCTTTTTGCCATATAAAGATTGAATTTCCATAGGAACGTTTACATGGGAAAGGGTTCAAAAAATTCCCCCATCCAATCCAAAGTATTCACACCAATTTAGGATGTCGAAATACTATTACCCAGCGATTTTTACGGCGAAATTTTGAAAATTACATTATTTTTGCATATACCGACCTACGAAAACAAGGCGATTTATTGGGAGTGGTTGAACAAATAGTCCGTTCGCCCTTGAAACAAAGCACTTTAGCGTACCAAATTTCATGAAAATATCTTAAAAATTGCGAATCGCAGGTTGTACGTAAGAATACATGGACAGGCGGACGGACAAAGTTTGATCGATTGAGAAAATGATTCTGAATCCATCGATATAATAAAAGGTGTGTTGCGCAAGAGCTTTTCGTAGGCCGCAAATTTTAAAATATGTTAATAAAATTTTAGACACCGACGTGTTTTAGCCCAAAAACCAACACTAATGAACATTGTTGAACATTATTTGAATCACACCATTTTTTTAATCACTTTGCATATACGACTTTTGTAGAAAAGTCGTCATATCAATAACTGTACTAAGCTAAGTCGTGTAGGGTGTTTAAAAGTAAGCCATCGCCAACTATAGGATTTCTACCCATTTCCGTTCTATTCATTATTCATAGGTTACGTTTTAACTTGCATATTGAGCTCTCGATAAGCAAAGCCAGGTCCGCGCTTGGTTTTATAAAAAGATGGTCCAGAGAGCTTGATGATCCCTACATTACGAAAAGGCTGTACATGTCTTTGGTTACACCTATACTTGAGTACGCCTCTGTTGTTTGGTCTCCTTCATATAGGTGCTACGTAGATTCAATTGAATCTGTTCAAAAGCAATTCTTGCCGCACTTGAGATTCGAACCCACGACCATTGACTTGCTAGTCGAGATTCCTCGGCTTCGGCTACTCAGGCGGATAAATAAATAAATAATGTAACATATTTTGATCGGAATGCTATCCACCTTACTCGGCCGGATAATATGTTTACACAGATCAACGGCGACCTTCTCCTCGCGTTCGAGCATAAAAGTTTTTGTTGATGTCATGCCACCAGTAGGCTTAAGACATTTTAGACTGAAAGCCATCTTAATAATATAAGCTTTTCTTTCCTTTCTTAGCGCAAATTGTGAAATTAAATTAAGTCCAGTTGCTTTTATCGTTTCAGTTTAAACCTTTCTTTACTAGTCGCATTGGCAACTTTGTTGATTTACAGTCATACAGTTAATGCTGTGGCTACAGCCAGCCTCAGCCAGCCTGCCACCACAACCAAACCTCAGGGTTTTCATGCACGCTCTTTTGAGGCAAACGGTGATGATGACATTGACGAAGAATTTGAGACTCAAGCTCAGACACATTCGGCCTACAGACAGCCACAACAACAGCAGCAACAACAAAATCAACATTACCAGCAACAGCACTATCAGCAACAACAACAGCAGCAACAACCAATTTATGATTACAGTCAATCTGAAGAAGAACAAGAAGAGCCGCCTCGGCAGCTATATCAAGGTCGTCAGCAACAACAGAATAATTATTTAGCAATTAATAGTAACAAGAACGTTCAAAATAATAAAAAACAATCGAGTGAAGAAGAATCCGAAGAAGAAGAAGAAGAGCCCGATAGACTATCTCTGCTGTTAGCGAAATCGACCTTTAATTGCAAAGATAAAAATTCGGGGTAAGCACGTCAACTCACCCAAGGGAATCGCATTCATTTTTCATTATTATTTTCATTTTCATTATCATCTTATGCACTTAAAATAGTTATTATGCCGATGAGTCTCTGAAATGTGAAGTCTTTCACTATTGTCAAGAGAATCAACGTCACTCGTGGATTTGTCCGGAAGGTTTTACATTTCATCAGATACACTTGATATGCATGCCTCCGTCCAGTGATAACATCTGCCAGCAATCTTCAAAATTTCACATAGTTAACGATTACCTATATAAACCCATTAACTTGCAAGAGCATCAAAGTAAGCCAAATGTTACGCTACGCTATTCGGAACGTTACTATCCGGAAAACTATTACGATCACGAACGCTATTCGGATGAAGATGAAATACCTAGGCCGCGTGTGCAACATCAACGTCAACCGGTAAGTTATGAAATAGAAAGCAACGAGACGTACGTTTATGAATTGTTCGCATTTACAGGTGCAGGTTGGATTTCCGCAAAGTATTCAAACGCAACACCAACGTCCTCTCGCCCAGCAGCAACAACATCAGTTACACCAACAGCAACAACAGCAGCAGCAACATCACCAACCACAACCAGTACGCCATCAGCCGCAAACAGCGACACAATCACAAGCCCAACCGCAAACGACAATCTATCGCAAGCCAGCGTTAAGTCACAGTACAACTGCTCAGCCTCATGCTCCTCGCTTACCCACTTCTGTACTGGCCGTTACTCCTACTCCATACCGTTTATTCACAGCAAATGCCCAGCTACAGCATTTACAGCAACAGCAACAACAAGTGTATAGAACACCTGAAGATATTAATATATCGCTACAGCAGAGACGTCCACAAATTTTCATAGGCAGTACCACGCCGCGTTACTATGAGGACGAGTACTTATATGAGCGAAAATAATTCAATTATTCCACTCATCTATTGACTGGTTTTGTATTTGCATCTAATCTTCTTCCTGGACTGTCCTCAACTCAACTCAAATAAAAAAAGTGATTTTCAAAAATTTACTTACACTACACTAATACTATGAAACAACTTTGATTTCCAAACATAAATCTTTTTTTTGACTTGGTTTTTATTTTTGTTCTCTTCTTATGATTTCATATATGTATTAAACTTAAGCTTTAATGTTATTAATCCAACATAGGTAATCTATTGAATTTAGTCCCAAAATCAAGCACATAACACTAAGTAAGGTTTACATTCATACAGTTACACTATGCGTACGTTCCGCAATTGTATCCAAATCTTTGTCTGCCTTAAGTTTCCACTCTTTAGTAGTATTTTAGTTAATATTCTTATTAAATAAGAGAGAAATTTGTTAAATTAATAAAATAAAGCTCACTTATTGTACTATGCCGCGTTTTTTGGCTTCCTTCTTACCTCAACTATTCAGAGTCAGAGTTAGTTGCCATCTAATGCACAAGCCGTTGATGGTGCATTGAAAACGTCTTTAGTGAAATTTAATTGAAAAGTAAACTCAAAAGAAACATTTTTTTCTTCTTCTTCAAATGAACAACGAATGATTTATTGATGAAAAGCGGAAAAGGTTCAAGGAAAACACGAATTGCTTTGTTCGAACTTTTAGTTAGCGTTAGCTTTGGTAGCATACACATGTGTATATATATATATATATATATATATATATATGTGTGTGTGTAAGTGCGTAGTCCCGCTTTCGCTACGTAATTTCCCTGACATCAATGAAACCGCGATATCGCGGTTCGAAGTGGGCTTTTCAGTCAATCCTTATGGTAGCCATCTTCCCTTCTTATTGATTCTCTCCCATCGCATACAAACGTCGAGAACAGTTCAGATCATCAACAACTAAGCTCTTGCAAAATTCTTTGCAATCTTGAGCCGAGTTCTCGTCCAATAAGTCTCGCAATTCATTATCTTCGAACTTATGGGTTCCTCCAGGCCGTTCTTTGTCAAGGACATGGAAATTGACACTTTTAAATCGTTGGAACGAAAACCGGCAGTTGGAATATGATGGAGCAGCTTTATGATAAGCTTCTAAAAGTGGTTGATGGGCTTCACCAGCAAATTTCTTCAAAAGAAAAACTAATGCAAGTCGAAAATGCAATTTTGTCCTTTCCAAATCATTATCTCTCCATCATAAAATACTCCAAATTGAACCTAAGGTGATTGTAAGTAATGATGTCATTCGATCCAAATTTTCTATATTTATTTAACAGGCCAGACCATATTGTTTGCGCCGACTTTTGTTGCAAAATATTTATATAGAAACCTTTTTACAGATGACTTTGCAAACATTGGTGTCGAAGGGGGAGTGAATTTAAACAAATGCTCGATCCAATTCAAATGCAGACCAATTATCTCAAGGCAATAGACATGCCTAAACTGATGCAGAAACTGATTCTGAATAAAATTGATATGAAAGCATATACTTGTAGTTGAAGTCCATGTAGGTGTTACATATATCGGCACAAACTTAATACATCCTTATCACAAGCAGTACGGGGTATAAAAACGCATTAATTGTATTTTAGATAAGCCTGCAAAGCGGATAAAACTAACACGTATTTTGCTTGGTATATGCCCAAAAGAAGCAACAGTTACCGAGAACAATATGCCCACTATGATTATCAATAATCTTCAATAGCCTTTTTCCTTCTCCTCTGATATATTCTCTACTCCTTCACATATTCATATACTTGCGCAACATTTCCGCTCTTTTATAAGACGTTTACATACGCTCGCATGTACTTCGTCAAGGCTCATTCTGATAAATTCTCTTTGCGCCGTACCATTAACTCAGAATAATTTGGAAAATAACAAAAACCTAGAATATCTTACCACCAAAAGTGGGTAAAATAATAAAATAATTAAAAGATCAACTTCCTTTAACTTATGTACCAAGCTAACCGCCAACTTTATTATGTTTCAAACAAAGAACTTCTTGTTCACATTGCATCTTTTCTGCTCAACACAGTAAAACAATTCTTGTTGATTTACTTACGGATAGAAGAAGAAGAATTTAAGAAAAAAACGCTATTCGTGTCAAAAGCTTTTCAAAACAGCTGATTAAGCGCATCAACAACATAAACCTTAAGCCAAATTAAATGAAATTCATTTCAAAAAAATGATCACACAAGAGTTCCAAGCCATTGTTTTCGCTGGTGGACGTGGTTCGCGTTTACCAGAAGTGTTAGGAGATACCCCGAAGTGTTTATTAACGGTGGGGCCTTATCCGCTCTTATGGTATCCATTAAATTTGTTGCACCAACATGGATTTCAAGGTATTAAAAGAAAATAATCAAAAAAAAAAGAAGAAAAACAAAAAGATGATCACATCAATTTCTCCATACAGAAGCAATTGTTATAGTTTTGGAAAATGAGAAGAGCGAAATTCAAGCAGCCATGGAGCGCACTCCTTCCAAGCTTAAATTGGATTTTGTTTGCATACCGAGTGACAGTGATTTTGGGACAGCCGACAGTTTACGCTATATTCAGGACAAAATCAAAGTGGATTTTCTGATATTAAGCTGCGACCTTATCACAAATGCCAATTTGTTTCCACTAATTAATATATTCCGGCAACATGACGCGGCTTTGGCAATTTTACTCTTTCGAGGCGGTTTTGAACCAGATGTTACTTTACCCGGGCCCAAATCCAAACACAAACCAGAACGTGATTTAATCGGCATAAATCCAGAGACTAAACGTCTGTTATTTTTGGCAGCTGCCAGTGATTTTGAAGAAACTGTAAATATTAACGCTCATCTGCTGCGCAAATATGATAAAATGACTGTACACTCACGTCTAGTCGATGGACATGTTTACGTTATGAAAAAGTGGACTATTGAGTTTCTGAAAAAGGTACGAAGTATAATTTTCATCGGAATTCAAGCTTGGCTATGTATAAATTTTGTTTTACCTTAGAAAGAACATTTCTCTACCCTGAAAGGCGAATTCCTGCCGTATATAGTTAAAAAGCAAATGGCTAAATCAGGCAAGCCAAACGTGATCCCAACAACGATTATGGACACACAATCCGATTTAGGTTTAAACCGCAAAGGAGAGGACAGCATATTTAGCGTAAGTTCCTTATTAAAAATATCCAAGAACTTTTTAAGGCACTTTTCCAACGATTTCAGCTTATACCGCATGCTAACCTAAACCAGCAAGTTTTAAAAACCACTCTCTACAATGACAATAAATCAAAACCTTTGTATAACGGCGATTTGTTACGTTGTTATGCTCTGGAAGCTGCTAAAAACTCGTTAGGGCTGCGTGTTAACACCACTTTTAACTATTTTGCTATAAATCAGAAGGTGGGACTTTTTTTTTTTTGTTTTTCTGTTTTATATAAGCAACTATAATTTCAGATCTCTTCCGTGTGGCCTTTTCTGTGCGCGAATCAAGATCTTGCTTTAATTTCTCCAAGCGCGCTCGTTAATTCAACACAAACAAATGAAATATCGGCAGCCGACAATGCCAAATTAAGTGAAAAGACTTCCTTACATTTTAGTGTTTTCGGACCTAGTTGTCACATCAAACCTAAAAATGTTATCAACAAGTCTTTGATTATGGCCAATGCCTTAGTTGAGGAAGGGTGAGCTTTATTTGTAAGGAATTTGTCTGTAATGTTTGATCACATTGTTTGTTTTGTAGTTGTAACATTGAAAACTGCATTATTGGACCCAAAGCTGTAGTGAAGACGGGCGCCAAGCTAAAAAATTGTTTAGTGGGTGCTAATTATATTGTAGAAGAAAACTCAACACTAAGCACTAAGCATTTAATACACGCTGATGGCTTTATGGAAATTGATATACAATGAATTGATAAAAGCGCATTTATAATAATGAACTGTTCTTCGCAAGTTTGGTACAATTAAAGCGATTATATAACAATCTAAAAATGTCTTGAACAAAGGATACCCATCTATCCATTTCAGTTAAATATCTAACTATGCATGAACGACTTTCTATCACATCAATGTCTCTGTCAGCGAAACCTTCAAACCGCATTGCTTGACATCGTGCAATAAATGCACATATATGTAATATATGTACATATATGAAAAAGAAACAATGACGGATATCATATAATTGAAGTTAGAAATATTTTTCGATTTTCACTTTACACATGATTTGCTCTAAGTTCTAAATTGCTTTGATTTCTCGCTAAAAACCGTTAGCCGATTTTTTTCCTCTATATTTACTTCCATTCCATGGTTGGGTGCTTTTCACGTTGCAGAGTGCTGAGGAGTTGGCTTCAATCGTATAATAATTGACTTATGAATTGACATATGATTATTATGTTCAGCTGTGTCGCTCTCAAAAACAAACTTTTGCACAACTTCTACAAAATCTAGAACACAATGCTCCATTATGAACATATATTAAAATTCTTCAATAATGCTATCAGGTTACGAATGTTTCAGTTTCGATCAGCTCTCTAAAGGGACACATGGAGTCTAAAGAAGTTTTGGTTAGATTGAATTGTTTGATCATTTTTTAAAGTTATTTTTAGGACAAATTCTTTTTAATTGAGTTGTTATGTGCTGAGATTTGTTGTGTTCTCACCAACGACAGCATGGAAACTCGTTTGCGAAGCATGCAAATAACCAAAGTTGCAAAATGCAACAACAAAATCAAAGCGGAATGTAAACAAAAGAATGTAAACAAATAACACGTGCGGCTTAATGTAAACAAAACTTAAACCAATAAAAAAAAACCCTGTTTGATGGCAAAAAAATAAATCAAAAATAACCTCGGTTCAATACGTAAACAAAACGATGAGTTATGTCTTCCAAAAAAGAATTGCCAATCTCAATAATTACTTTAATTGTAGACAGTATTGCCAATTAATGTTTCACAATAACATGAGTTTATTGGGAATTACATAATGATATGTTAGCTTTATAGTGCTTTGCTTATTCCACGGTAGGAAAAAGTTCCCGAATATATAGTTTTTATTTATAAATATTATCGATAGTCCGCGGATTTAGACACTATTAAGGCTTACTTGAATATTGCTAGAGGCAAATAAAAGTGTTATTAAATGACCTAAATGGTGGTTAAAGATCCATATTAATATGTATAGGGGCTTAAATCGAAATCACTTTTTATTTACCTTGGTACGTTGTCATTCTCATGAGACTGTTTTCTAGCGGCACTTATTTGTTTGCATTAATCTATCTCAGTGAATGCCAGACAAGCCAAAACTTTGTATGTTTGCAATTGCTATTGTGTCTGGATAGAAGCATTCTATTCAAATTTGTTGTAAACTGAAAATAATAAACAAAAGATGTCTACAAGGGAAAACCAAGCAAGCTATCAAGCGGAAGAGCCTGCAGCTGCTGAAAAGGGTGTTTTAAATGGTTCTGATAAAAATGAAGAACTATTTGCTTCAAATCCCAATGTATTAGAAGTTGAAAAAGCAGATCCTGAAGATTTGCAACGTATACGAGGAGATGCCATTGGCGATACATTGTATAGTGAACGATTCGTATTAAATACATTGTTAAAATTAAGTAAATTGGAGAAAAATCTACAAGAGGAAGAGGAAATGGAGAAGGATTTATGCACTCTCTGGGATATGACCTTAGATGCAGACATAATCGAATATTTGCTAAAGCAAGATGTGTTAACCTTATTTGCCGAAGTTATAAAGGCCACGAATGATAAGCGCTTAACTGAGATTTTGGTTGGAATATTGGCCAATATGTGCGACGTCAAGAAAACAAGAGATGAATTATGTTTGCAAGAATCACAATTGGTGGAAGTGTTATTGGATTTGTCGGGTTGTCTGGATGCTTTAACATTACAACAGCTTATGAGATTGTGGGCTGTAATATTTGTTAAAAGTCCCACAGAGCACATTGAGAAGTGGTACGACTTGGTCTGCAAAGATGGTCAATTCATAGAGAATATTTGTTTTATACTGAACAACGCCATTAATCATAAAGTATTGTTACAAACATTGGAGACTTTGAATGCGGTGCTTGCAAAATTCGCTTTGTTAGACAGTCCGGCCAAAAGTTTTACAGAACTTTTCATAAAATCTGAGGTTGTAAATGCTACTATGGAAGCATTTAATACAATTTTGACTGACAATGCCGGGCAGGAAAACGATACTGACGAATTGGAGAAAAAGGAAGTAAAAATAAAGCAAACCTTCTGCAATATTCACAGTATTTTAACACAATACCAGCAATACTCGGAAGAAGCTTATGCGGCACATTCTGAGGATATATTGCAATGTATGAAGAAAATTTTAAAACCTTTGGCCTTGAAGGTGGACATAGAAACATGGCAAACATTTGAATTGGAAGTTTTTGAAACATTAAGTGATCTGTTGGAGGTAATTTTTCTTATCTTATCGATTGGAAGAAAATCAACAACTCATTGGTCATTGCTTAATGTTTACTTACTCTTTGGTTTACAGATTCTACCTCGTTGTTTTGATCCGCATTTATCCTCGTACTTAATAAAAATTTGGCTTAAGTTTTTGCAAACACAACAAAGCTCCGCGTCAACCGAATTTGAAGAAGAATTAAATCATCAAGGTTTGTCCGATAAATGTTTGCAGCTTTTATTACTTATGTTAACTGAGGCTAGCAATGCAGAATTACAAGAAAATCTTAAAACTGTCCAATCGGAGCATAAAGGCCGCTTTTTAAAATCCGTAGAAAAACTGGAAAAAAATGGTTGCTTAGTTAAAGCATATGATAAAATAAAGAATGCTCTTGGAGAGTAAAAAGCATTTTACTTGATTATATCTTATACTTTAACATCTGTACTTAATCCTTAGTGATGCTCTTTAATTATTTTTCTGCTTGCCAGGCATCATATGTAAAGATGTCATCTCCATCCAAGAACTTTTGCCTAAGGTGACTTCATTCTTACAGTAAATTTTTAAAATTGCTTCTCTAGACGTTTCCGAATTCCATTTGAAATTTTGCTTGTTCTCATTTAAACCAGGAGTTAAATGCCGCAACGAATCATCCAAATTTATTGTGTTTACATCATTTTCTATGTTAGCCTCTATGTTCGCGTTATTCTCTATTGTTTCAGATATATTGACTATAGCCGATTCCATATTTTCTGTTCGTATTACGTTATCCCCGGACAATTCCGATAATTGTATATTCATAAGGCCACCTTTGCAATGCACGCTCAAATTACCATGCACGCCAACTATGTTTTTTTAAAACACATTTGACACATATTATATTTAAATAGTTGTACGTAAAATAATCACTTACGCATATTCAATTTTCCTTTCTGATTTACCACGACTTCCGTACGTTTATGAATGTTTTTCAGAAGTAAAGAACCGCAAGCGGTTTCAAACTTTGAGAAGTCCACATAGCTACAGTTGGTATTGATACTACCATCTACAGTCGTGCAAGTGCAACATTCACCTTGCAACTTATCCAATGTGATATTCTGGAAATTTATTATTATTTATGTTGACCTTTTGTTTCTCATTTTTTTTTTTGTTTTGATATCTACCCCGTTGCCTTTTGTTTCTATCACAGTTTCTTTGCCCAACAATAAACCTAAGCAACTGATATTCTCACCTTCACTCTCTAGGTGTATGAATTCGGCTCGTACATCTCGTACATTTATAAATCGTTTAGCTTTGACTCTAACTGCTCGGCCAAATATGTTTTTTACACTTGCGCCATGCTGCGAATTAACGGTTACTTGAGCTCTTACTGGTACCGCCAATTCGCAATGAAAATCGCTCTCAGGCGCTAATTTTTTAATAATAACTTCAACTTGTTTTTCATCATCACTGATCTTAACATCCATTGAAGCTGTACAATTCTTAACGGGTCCACCATGAAGCTCACTTATAAATGCATTGCCATCCGGAAAAGCGTGAACATCCGCAGATCTAATTTTTGTGAAAATATCCGATAAAACAATTATGTGGGCTTGCGGATCAACGAATCTTAAGGTTTCTTGATGTATTTGATTCATGGTGGGTGGAAATTTCTTCGAAGCATAAAAACGTTTAATTATTGTTAAATGACGAAATAAAGGCGCTGCTTGACGTAAAATTATCATTGCTTTTGACAATTTTAACAGCAATAAATACAATTCGGAAATGCCTCTAAATTGTAAGGTTATGATTGAATGTTATCAGCTGTTATTTGTTATACGCCATTTGATCAGAGTTACCAAATTCCAGTCTTAATAAATTGAAACTTGGACGTATGTGACAGTATGCGCATTCGTTGTTTACAATACATTGACTTCGCCAATGATGTGAGCGATGTATATCCTCAAAAAGCATGTATACGATGAAAATCCAAATTTTATTTACTTTCGAAATCGATGATTTGCATGTAATTTTATTATTTTATGCGCCTGTCCAATGAATGATTATGTAACCTGAATAAAAAAGACTGAACTGGAACAAGGTCAGTTTTTCGTTGGGAAAACTTTTAGCAAACATACGTTCATTGAGAAAGCAAGTTATAAACAACAATAAATAATTCTGTTTTTTTTTTGTTTCTATTTTCCTAATTATTCAAATAAGTCGGAAATAGTAAGTCTTTCCTACAGGTTGGCGTTAAAATTGTACCCATTCCTAAAGCTGGAAAAGATCTTGAAAACTTTACAAATTTCAGAGCTATATCCCTCCTGTCTGTACCAAGTGATTAAAGAAAGACTCACTAAATTTCTGCACGACTCACAACTGCTCCAGGTCCTATGCTTATCAGAAACACATTTCCACCAGTATTTGTCTCAATAAGTTCTTTTCACCATAGTAAGTGAGAAAGCAAATGGTAACCAGGTAGTTATGTTTAGTTTCGACATCAATAAAGTGTATGACTGCGTTGATCTAGGGAAACTAGGTCAAATTCTAACTGATTTTAAAATAGCGTCTCAATGTGGACTGTGGAATATAAATTTCCTTTTTCCGCGAACTATTGTGATGGGCTCAAATTCAGTTGAAGTTTGTGGAGGTCTACCTCACGGTAACTGCCTCAGTCCAATACTTTTTAATCTATACACAGCCGGCTTACATCGATTACAGGACAATACAACCCATTTATTTCAATACGCTGATGATTTCTTAACTATTTCTGCTGAAAAATAGTAGAAGCAGTTTACATTCTTAATACCAAATCCAATCGTTTCTATAAAGATTGCGCGGATTTAAATTTTTTTTTCAAACCTGAAAAATCAAAAGTCATTTGTTTCGGTAAGGGCTCTAAAAAAATTTTCTGCATCACAGTTAACGGCACAAAAGTTAAACAATCTTCCTGCATTAAATTTCTAGGTAGAATAATCATCTCAAGTTTGACCCTTCATGACACACTAACGAGATGTTCTTGAAAATTGCTACACAGGCTCAAATGTAATCAAACTTTTAACCAATTTAAAAAATGGACTCCTACTAAAGAAAGCTTTAAATGTCTACAAATCTATTGTCCGTTCGAAAATTGAATATTCATACTCCCTACCGTGCAATTCCCCTGCGTATACAATTAAAAAAATACAAACCTTCCAACACTCATTTCTAAGACGCTGTACTGGGTTGTCCCCCTCGACTCCAATATCAATCTTACGTTGCATTTCGTTAGAAATTCCTGTAACAAAAAGAATATTCCTCTTCACTGAAAAAGAACTTCTCAAGGTAAACATTTTTAAGCCTGCTTTTTTCAATAAAGTCGTCTCCAAAAATAATGATGTCTTCAGGAGTTACTTAAGTTGTTACAAAAAATTCAGCAACATTTTCAATAAATTTAACGCAGTACCCTCTTGGAGTAGTATTATTCACAAAAAGTGCGTCTTGGAATTAAACATACTTGATTCGATCACGAAATCAAGAAAAAATCGGTCAAGGTCTTGTCTTCGAACTGTATGTCGGCAAAAACTCAATTACCTTCTAGGTTACTAGCTTCTCAGTTATAGAGTATCCAAATTTACTTTTAGGAAAATTCAAAGCCCTGCAAGAGTTATCATCCACCTGCATTGAACTTCTGGCCATCAGACAGGCAATCCTCTTTGCAATTGAGAAAAAATTTAGAAGAATTGCATATTTTTCTGACAGCAAATCTGCTCTGATGCTAATCAAGAATAAGGATCCTTACAACATCTACGTTTTTGAAATTTACAACCTCTTAAAAGATCCAAGCATCGAAGAATGCCACCTAATCTGGATCCCAGGTCGCAGTGGTTTTAGTATCAATGAAAGAGCAGACTTCTTTGCACGTGAAGCACAGTTCAATGGTTCGGTTCGGTTTTGTCCATTAACTATCCTCCCAGCGATACTCTCCTGCTTATCCAAAAAGTTATTGTAAAAGAATAGGAAGATGGGTGTCACGGTTTAGCTAGAGAAAAAAGTGACCGGGTTTTTTACAAAATTTACCCCTTTTTGGACACCCAAACTTTTACCTAAAGGAAAATTTGCAACATGGGAGTTTAAAATACTTCATAGATTATGAGTAATCACACTTATGACAAGGTATACTTCAAAATGATTAAAGTCTCTTCCACTGGTAACTACGAAGAATGTAACATTACTGAGTCTGCCGAACATCTAATTTTTGAGTGCATGAGGTTTGACATCCTTAGACAATCTTTCAGTATATTTAGCGTATACATACAATTTTTTTGAAATTTTTCATGCTAGAAACTTTACGCATTTTAAGCAGCTGACTGGCTTTATTAAATCAACTGATTTCTCTTTTCTCTCTTCTATTCTCATAAGTTTGTTCATAAACACAGATCGCCTATACTTTTTCTTTTCCGGCATTCTTAGCCGGAATATCGACTATACAGTACCTTACGGAAGCAGAACATCACCTGTTTAACAAGCGTAAGCATCACTTAAAAAAAAAAGAAAAAGCGCTCATTTTACGTTTCGGAAAAATATAAAAATATCGTCAATGGTTTTTTTCTACGTTACTGGATTATGGGTCTAAGTTGAATCAAATGGGCCTAATCCATATCCAAACTAAAAAAAAAAAATCTATCGCCAACTTTCCTAAGGCTCATTCAAAGAACTCTGTGTTCACATTGGGCATTTTTCACACGTCGCAACGCATTTTCGGTTCTTAATTTGCTAAACAACGGAAGAAGAAGAAGAACACAACAATAAATAATTGTAATCTAATTTTTTGCTTGTGAACTACTTGTATTCAAAATAATGTCATTTGATACGATACCCAAGGATTTGCGAGGCTTGCGGGCGTGCTTGGTATGCTCCTTGGTAAAAGTATGTTTGTTTTTATGACATAAAAAAAAAGTGTTTAAAGCACATATGCCTTTTAGACCTTCGATCAATTCGAATATGATGGCTGTGAGAATTGCGACGACTTTTTGCGCATGAAAAACAACAAAGATAATGTTTATGATCACACTAGCAACAATTTTGACGGAATTATTGCCTTAATGAGTCCCGAAGATTCGTGGGTAGCGAAGTGGCAAAGAATAGGTAAGTTAAATACAGTTGTTATAATGAAGCTAAATTTATAAGACGCATTTTTAGGGCGCTTTACAAGAGGAATCTACGCGATATCAGTCAGCGGAAATTTGCCCCAAGCCACTTTAAGAGAAATGAAGAGCCGTGGAATACCATATAGACCTAGAGACACTAGTCAACGTTAAATTTCGCTCATTTTATATGCAATTTCAAGGCTGACGATAAATTTCCATCAGACTAAGACAACGTACGCATTATTTATAAAATTTCCTTTTTGTCTTTATTAAATAAAAATTATTTTCCTCTATGTATACAAGTAAAATATCGTTTATCATTATAAAAATCTTATGTTTATAAAAACTAAGTGAGATAATTTGTAGTGTCCGAAATAATGTGTTTTACAATTTTTCTATGGATAAACCATCCCCACCAGCTGTAGTTGAGTGCACTCCGAAACCAGCTGCTTCCAACTCTTCCTTTAACTTCCAATATACTTCATTTTTAGCATAATTATCGGGCAACAGGACTATAACATAGCCACCTGCTCCCGCACCGGTTACTTTACTAAAGAATCCTCGTTTGTAAGCAATACTGAAAATTTGCTCTAACTTAGGATGGCTAACACCAATTGCTTTCAGCAGATCATTATTGATTTGGAATAGCCTTTCCAGTTTCTCAAATTTTTCACTGTCGTCTTGGCTATTACCAAATATTTCATACAATGGTATAGCTTCTGTAACCAAGGCTTCAAGTGAATTCCAGATAGCGTTTATTACTTCAGGGAATGTCTCAGTAAGGTGCCGGACTTTGGCTACTATATCTGCGGTGCTACGTTTCACTTTGCTGTCGACCAACAGTATGTTTAAAGGTCGTAAGATGTTAATCGTTTGAAATCCTTGTCCTTTAACAAAGCGCAACATTCCACCGTAACTGCAGATAGTGTTGTCGACCCCTGATGGCGTGCCGTGAACGATACGTTCCGATTCAAAAGCCCAATTAGATATCAGAGCCAAATTTTGTGGATCCCGGTAACTGGATAAATCGAAGTGCCGAGCATACAAAAGGAAAGCTGCTGCCAACGCCACGCCATATGATGCGGAACTACCCAGACCCGATCCTATATTGAGTTCAGTGTCTATATGTAGCGTGAAACCATTTGTTATTTTGAAGTCTTTTGCAGGTGAAGAGAGTACAGCTCCTGCCAGCAAATAGTAAATTGATATAAATGATTTCTGGTTTTTTTGTTTTTTGGATGAGCTATTGTTTTCGAGTTGCTCTTCTTGTTGTTTTGCCAGTTCAGCACGCACCTCTTCTAGCAATTGAACAGTGCTGTCAGATTTTTCTGTAGGATATTTTGTTCGAAATTTGCTCAAAAATTCATTAAACGCTTTCACCTCCACGCTGAAGTTATTATTAAGCGCTTCCAGGTGAACGGAAATTAATGTTTGGGTTTGATCCATAGAAAATCGCAGAGTGGTAGCCAAGCCTACAACAGCAGCCAAAGCAGGTTTATGATAAACCACTGCATGTTCTCCATGCAAAATAATTTTACCCGGTGCTCTAACTTGAAAGTCAAACATAATGGATTATGTAATTTTTGTTCGCGCAATCCGATGGTGCCTATGTTTTGCAATTCAAATTAACAGTAATCAGAAATCACAGTGTCTTTATATTCGTAGGCAGTATCAGGCGAGTTCAATGCAAATTTTGATTTATTCTTATAACACATAAAGCTGCCTTGTTATTATTAACAACCAAGTTTTTATTGTGAATTTTATAAAACAGATTTTTGAAACGAGATATAAACTAAACGAATGATTTGTAAATTGTAATTGGCTGCGATTTCGTTAACTTACTTTCACTTTCCGCTAGAGAGGTTATAACTTAAGTTCATATGAGTGTATGTAAAGCTTTTATAACTGCCTGCACTTTGTGACAATAAAACTGGTTTTATTTCTCTACCTTCCCCCTTTAAAAAATTGCTTTTATTGTTGCTTTTGTTTTTGTATATTCTCCCACTCTTCAACGGTGTAAGGTTTTTGGGTGAAGGCGTGTATTTCTTTAAGTTCCTCCGCCAATACCGCATTAACCATGCGGTGTTTCTGCAGCAATGTTTTGCCTTTGAATATATCCGATACAATGATCACATTAAACTTGCCACCGCAACCGTCGGATTCGTCAACCGCACGCACATATTTCGTTTCAAGCTGATCTGCGAGTTTCTTCTCCAAATGGCCAGCTGTATATTTGCTCATGTTTTGTCGTTGCTCTCTATCTTTTTTTATTGGAAGATCGTTTTGCTCTTACTTTCGCCACTTTCAACTTATGGTCGTACGACTGCGCTGTACCATCGATGGATTTTAGAATATATTTGAAATTTGCATAAAATATATAAAAATTTTTTCCCCAACACCTACCGCTGCATAGGATTGCCAAGCCTTCACGTTTTATGATTGAAAAAAATAGGGCAAAAGAAGAATTTATCGAATTTTATTTGCCGTAATATATAATTTTGTTAATATTTCACTCATCATCATGTATTGTTTAATACGTCTAAATACGCTACGATTAAGTTAAGGTTTTCTGTATTTGTTTACTTAACTCTTATTGTTTAGATATTCTGGCTACTAATGCCAAGAAAATAATTGAGTTTGTAAGAATAATTGGTAGAAAGAAAATTAATATACAAACACCATTCTTTGTTTAAAATTTGTTCCTGAATTAATAAGAAAATCCACTACAGCGGGCGCCACGCCTTATTTTGAAAATACATTAGATGGGGAAAGGTCGAAAAAGTGGTTCGATCCGAATCATTTTCAATGGCGTTCACCCTTCGACCGAAAAGCTTCAGTGTATCAAATTTCATCAAAATATCTCAAAAATCGTAGCCTGTTGGTGGTACATAAGAATAAAAGACAAACGGCCGTACGGACCGCTAAGCTTAGACCAATTCCGAAAATGATCCTGAAACGATGGTTGTAATAGAAAGCAGATCTAACTCAAGCTATTCTGCGCATTACATATCTCCGCACGATCAAAATCGACCCGTGAGTGCGTGGCATATAAATAATTACAACTATTTTGTTGCAAACGGTAAGAAGCTACTCAGATTAAATTTTGTGTGGATCTATTGAATTATTGTTGGCCTATTCGACAGGGGAATTTTTAATACCTAAAGTATACTTTACGCACCGATATGCAAAACTTTGTTCACTCTATCAGCCGTTAGCCCCATTCGCTTAAAGAAAATAGGATACCCTACCATATTAAAGTGTATAAAAAATAAAAAGTGTATTGCCAGAAACAAGTAATTGTTCAATACAATTGTCCACTGGGTTCAATGGAAGTGGAAGTGTAAATACGAGGCGGACTAGGATAACATTGTAACAACCTAATTACAAAAGAGAAAGGAAAATGGAAATGGATCAGTCTTTGGCGAAAAATCTTCTTAATAATGGCGCTGTGCTAATTATAACTGGTGTGCCAGTTCGAACTTTATTCGGTGTAGATTTGTGTACTTACACAATAGCAGATAATTTTCGAGGAGTTAAAATGATACCACCAGGTTTTCATTATGTTTGGTGTGCGGCTACTGGGCCTTATGGTGATTCAGCTCCAAGAGTAGGATTTGCTCATTATTTTAAGGCTCGAGAAATTTTGGTAAAAGAATGGGATACTACAACGGAGGAGTTGAAAGAAAGGCAAAGTCCGGAGCCAGAATTGGAAAAACAACGTATACGAGAACATTTAAAAGAGTTAGATAGATTTCTAGCTCCATACGATTTGCGTAGTTTAAAGGATTGGGTTAAGCTAACGTCGCATGTCGTTGGCGAAGAAGTTTTGAACAAATGTAAACCGTCTTTGGGTACAATACGCACAAATGTCGAACTGGAATCGTGTCCAGATTCTGAAAGGCCGCGAGGCTCCTTAAATGAAACCTATTCAGTTATGAAATTAAAATTTGTGAGTGACGAAAATGATCTTTTACCTAAATTAAAACCAGTTGAGGGCACGGCTCCTCGCTTTAACTCGGTACCAGATAGAGTGCCTAAAAACAGTTCGCCGGCAGAAATCTCCCTACATTCAGTAGATTGTATTGAAGCTTGCGACGAATTACTGAAATCTTACACGAATTCGCTTGAATTAATTCAAGAAATTCAGATATCATTTGCGTTTTTCGTAGTCGGCTTCTCGACCGAATCTTTATTATATTGGCGTAAAATATTGAACTTGCTATCACATTCAGAAGAGGCTGCAGGAAAATATCTTTCTCTCTATGAGGAGTATTACAAAATATTGGCTTTCCAACTGCCCCATTTACCAGAAGAACTCTCAATGCCCACAGACGGCAATACGGTTTATAAAGATGTACGCTCGTTACTGTATAACTTGAAGAGAGTGGGACTAGAAAGCAGTGGTAATCTTTTAATAAAAAGTCTTGAAAAGTCACTCAACTGGAAGTTTGACAATTTAAGAGAAGATCCTGAAGATATGCCAATAGTAGTAGAATTGAATGAAGCAATATAATGATTTTTATTTACTTATAGTTTTTAATGCTGCAATGGAAAATATATATGATAAGGAACCACATCCTGGCTTGAATATGACTAATTTGTATAGTAAGAACTGAATTATAGCATCCACTCCACATAGTGTATACAAACTTGCTTTAAGCGGGGGAATGTTTATTTTTAAAGATTTCTCAAGTCTAGTAAAGATTTCTAAAGTCTAGATAAAAAAAGTCTGCACGCGATACCTAATTAAAATAAATAAAGCATTATATTAAACTGAATTTTTTAAATATGCTGAAAAGTAAAATTTATTCAATAAATTGTACAGATAAATATGAAAAGAAGTTGCAACCAAAGAAGTATTACTCTGTGTCTCGCTTCGCTTGCGTATGTAGAAGGTGTGGAGGGCTAAGCAAAGGCCTCTTCGCGTCTATTTGAACGCAGGCACTACCACTATTAATTACGTGGTCAAGACTTACTGCGACCTGGCAGGTCTATTGTAGACGCCCTCCTAGCTCTACATTTCTATGACTTTTATGAATCCTGCCACCTTCTTAAAAAGCTGATATGTCCAGTAGAGTATCGCCTTTTCCCTTTTTTTATGTATACATCTCTTAATTAATAAATTCCGTCATGCCTGTTCTTGGTCTGGAAAAGCAGTGAAGCAATTTTCAAATTTTAGATAAAAAGTACATACTGAACATTTAGAAGAAAGCAGTTTGTTTTAACGCATTGGGGACATGCTGTGAAAAGCCTCAAAATCGTAACTCTTTTCAAAACCTTCCTCTTTCTAGTTGTAATAATAATTTGAAGAGATATATTTTCATTTTTTCCGAACACACTCGTCTAAGCAAATAAGTTTCATTTCAGAAATTCATTAGAAAATTATAATTTTTATTAAGGAAATAAATGTAAAAAAAATAGTGTTAAAATACTTCAGTAAATGCGGACATAATATTAAAAAAATAATCTAATCTACATTCGGCTTGAACCGAACCTTTTTAATACCCACCACTGGCTTATTTTTTTTAAATAAATATACTTTCATTTTAAAAATGGATAACAACACGTACATGTATGTAACATAATATATACATATGGCAGTACTGCCCAGTGAATTCTCCCTTGCTATAACACAAAGCAACCAAATAACAAAATACAAGCAAATATTTAACAAAACAAAAGGTTGGAATGATTAGCTTACACAAAATCTTCAAACAATTTTTAAGGCAGGATTTAAGGACAGATTTCCGGTGTGATTTCGCAGTATACAGACATACTGACCCTAAAGATACTCCCTCTGGCGAGTACAGTAAGTAGTTATAACAAGCATTACGAAACGTTCGTAATAATTTAATACAGGTACAACAAATTGCCTAGAAATTAAGGTAAATGATGAAGATCATACAAAGTATATAATGCCTCAGTGCGATCGTAAACTAATTTAGTGTTATTCAACATTTCCGGTAAGATTTCAATGGCTCTTGCCACGTTGCAGCAAACTCGTTTTAAAAGTTCACCTTGTGTCGGCAAAGCGTACATAGCAACCAAAGCCCCTTTTCGTATCACCCATGGATGATGTTTAGCTAAAGTCATTTCATAAGCCAACTTGCAAGCCAATTGCGTTTTGTCGAACTCTGTCAAGCTTGCTAAACGACTCAAGAATTCATAGATAAATTCTACAATACATAAATGAAAGAGAGAAGGAATAGTTACATGAATCTTTTCACACAACTATGTACCTAATCCTCTGTGTAAACGCAATAAAGTCCGACTACCGGATATATATTTTGCATCCTTTAAAAGACCATTTTCTTTTTCATAGGTCATCATCGTTTTAACAGTTATAAAATTTTCCGCCCTTTCCGCATCAGTTTCGCTTCGAAAGTCATATAAAATATCAATTTTGGAGCGAACATCACTGCTAACGAAACTGAAGACCGTACCCATTAAATTAAAAAACCTGAAATTAAACATTTACTAATCAAGTGACAAATGAAGAAGAGAAATGTATATTATTTTATATACTTATTTATTTCCTCATAAGCTTTTAGGTACTCATCGAGTAACACATCATCATCGTCGCGTAAACTTTCTTCAAATATTTGCTTTACTTTCTCAATATCAAAACGCTCCAAAGCAGCCATTTGGATAATTTCAGTTTCTTCAATACTTCCAATTAAATTTACTAATAATTCTACCAAGTCTTTTTCTTCTTCTTCTTCTTCTGTTATTCAGCAAACTAATAGCCGAATATTCACTGCGATGTGCAAAAAAGGCTCAATGCGAAAACTCAGAGCTCTTTGCTAGGCACTCAATAAAGTGGCGGTTAGATTTGGTATATAATATTATTATTTATTTATTTTAGTGATCATTTATTTATTTATTTTTATTTATTTTATTTATTCCACTTATACTAGAAACTCAACTAAACAAATAACAGTACACTATCAGCATAGGAGCACACTTACAACCGGTAAAGGACCAAATTGCAAATGAACTCCTAAGCCATCGCAAACATGCATAAGCCTGGCAACCGATAATAATTAACAATAATTCATTTTCGAATCGTAACGACTTTTTAAGGATAAAAGCTATTTTAAATACGACATAGGTAAATCGCGCGTATTAAGCAATGTTGCTTTAATGGACTTTAAAGAGTCCGATAACGAGAATAAGTGATAGACGTCATTTAGGTTCTTGCAAACGACTCTGAGCGAATTGAACAGCTCATAATTAAATTTACACTGATTAAGCTTAACCAAGATAAAGTGCCTAGAGAAGCGGTTAGGGACATTAAAGCTTATTTCACCAAGTAATGAAGGCGAGTCAATAGCACCATTTATTACTTTAATTAGAAAGGAAACGCCAAGAACAAATCTACGTTTCTCAAGAGACGATAGGGACAGCAGAAGCAACCTATTTTCATACGGAGGAAGAGAGGCAATCGGATCCCAACCCAAATTTCTAAGGGCAAACAGCAAGAATTGCTTTTGAACAGATTCAATTGAATCTACGTAGCACCTATATGAAGGAGACCACACAGCTGAGGCATACTCGAGTATGGGTCTAACCAAACACATGTACAGCCTTTTCGTAATGTAGGGATCATCAAGCTCTTTGGACCACCTTTGATTAAAGTTTTCTTTTTTTTTAATTTTGCGTGTTATACGTCCGCCACGTTTTTTTTATAGTTTTTGCTACAATATTCATATTACTTGTTCACCAGGTGCGATAGAACAGAAGGGGGAGGAGTAAATTCCGATGTGTAAGATGTAATATCATATATGAGCATAAAAAGTTATATGAAGGAAGGAGTCAGAATAACAAACTGTAAAAGAGAGTAGGTTCATAAATTAACTGTAAAGGTTTACGTGTCTTGATGATATGATTTAAAAAAGAAAAGATTGCGACGTAAGAATGTCGTGACCACGAAGATCACGTATACTCAATTTGCGAAGCGTCGAATGGCGAATAGAAGTGGTAACATTCGGACAAAAAAATAGGATATGATCAGGAGATTGTAAGACTCCACATGTGCATAAAGGACCTTATTTCTAATATATAGGGGTGAGCTTCACTTGAGGGAAATGATTGTAAAGCAGATAGTACAGATTTACTGTCTGACACTTTAAGGAATTTCTTTTGAGGTTGCGTACTCGCTAAGAGGATGGCTTCTAGAATCGCATGACATTCATATAGTGCTACGTGGATGATTGGAGAAGTAGGCTTCCATATTAATATCTGAAAACCAAAGGCCACTGCCTACTATAACGGTCTTAGATTCATCAGTAAAGATGAGTGGACAATATTTCCAAATGGTATTGACCAACTGCGAGTAACGATGGTATACCTCTGCCAGAGTAACTGTGGATTTTTTCACCTGTAAGAACTTAATTACTGGTCGAAAATATTGAGAAGCAAGAGGAATTTTGATTAAGCTATGTACATCAGTTCTTAGAATTTTGAAATTATTAGTTTCGTCAGGAAAAATTTTCAAGAAGGAAGGAGAGTAAGTAATCGCGTGATATAAAGTTTTAAATGAAAGGTAAGGCCGCATGACTCTCAGAAGATAGATCTTTATTAGATAAAAAATTGGCTAATAAAAGAAATCTTTCTTGTTGAGGTATAACATTTGCCATCTGTTGCAAGCGTTGTGTGTACAGTAAAAGTTCCTTATTCGCGCTTCCTTTATTCGTGGTTTTACTATTTGCGGATGCGACCAATTCCCATATTTGCGGATGAAAAAATTGCGACCAATTCCCATATTCGCGGCTATAAATTTCTTTATTCGCGGTTTTTGAGAATGTAAACAAACAGAATGAAAGAAACCTTATTATCATTGAATAAGTATTGTTGCGAAAATCCCAAATCTAGTTCATTTCAGCTAAGTAATTTCCCCAAATAACAAATTGCCTAAAGAGGGAAAAACTAAATGCACATTCGCATTCAATTAAACTGATTTTTTTTATTTTGTCACCTAGGAACGTATCCCCTATAATCCCATATAAATTACCATTCCGTATTCACGGTTTCTGTATTCGCGGCATTTTTATGGAACGTATCCCCCGCGAATAAGGAGCTTTTACTGTATGTAGAATTCATGCCACCAAGAGCCAGCGATCATGGAAAAAGTTTTCATAGCCGAATTGTTCATTAGCTTTGGCAGACGAAGGCACTTCCATTGGTTTCGTCATAATTTCAGCAGCTTCGTCAATGTGAGCTGCTGGGGAGAGCTTCCAGCGTAGAACAAAGTCTAAAAAGGCGAAAGGTCTAACAGAGGTAAGCAGAAGGGTAACCATGAGGTCTCTCTTTTGTTTTGAGAAGACCAAGCATTTAGTCTTATTGATTGAAAGTGCGAGTTGAAGTAATTCAAGACGAGAGGAAATAAAGTTGAGATCAGATTGCAAATTGCGCCTACACAAACCTGAATGAGAGTTAGAACTAAAAATGACAAGATCGTCTGCATAGCCCAGCATTGAGATGTTTTCAGGAATGGAACTGAAAACGTTGTTAATATTTAAAATAAAACAAAGAGAACTCAATAGAGACCCCTGAGGAAGATCTGTAAAAGATCTCTTGTACAACGACATCGTCATTGTCAATTATTATGTTCTCATAGGAAAAGAGATTATATAACAAATTGCAGAATGAATATTTAATTTTACAATTGAAGGAATAAAATACTTTATTTACATTTGATAGTTAGTTAACTATGCGATATAGAAAACGGAATTGTTGAATGTAAAAAACACAGGACGATTCGTATGAAAATTAATTATTAATTAATTAATGTAGTTGCCACCAGTACCGCATGGGTTTGTTGTTGCAAATTCTCTTACCGTATGTCATTGTTGTAAATTCTAATTTTTGCTTACATTCGCTATCTACATGCGTGCTATTGTCCACATTTTAAACACAAGTCCGCTTGTGGTTGTTGCTGTTGCTGCAAGAAATAAACACAACATTTTTGAGCATTAGCTAATCTTTGTCAATATGATATCGTGTTTTACTTAGTTGTAATATACCTATCTGGAATTTACTTTAAATTTCTTTTAAGTATTACGTATAGACATTGTAAAATACATAATGGAAGCGGATGACAAAATCATATTCACCTTTGGGACGAATTTGGAATAATTATTTAGGTTTTTATAAAAATATATATATTGCATAATATTCGAAATTGAAAAAGGCTGAGAACCATAAGTGAAATCGTACGCACAGCAGGAAGTCGAAAATATTTTACATAATATAATTTAGTACACAATATCACGATTTGAAAAAAAAAATCGATGTAGATCACTTGTATTCATAATGGATTGGTGCTAAAAGAAGAGGAAGAAGGTTGGTTCATAAGTTAATAGACATTTTAAAACGCACCCAGACTCTTAACTAACCAAAAAAGTTTTTCTTTTTAGCTTTGGCCAAACTATAAACAAATAAAGTAACGGGCGTAATCATGTATGAAAAATTTAGCTGTCGCTATTGCATTCAGCTATTTAACAATAACGGTTGAATATGAAAGCGAAAGCTAACTTTAAGCTAAGTGGTTATCTCCGAGGCTGTTAATATGAAGTTATATATTGTGTTTTTATGTATTTTCTGAAACGTAAGGTCTGGAATAGAGGACCTTACTAGACGCTTGGATTAGTTTTGCAGATTTCAATGTCCTCTAGTGTGTAAAAGAAATATACAAAACGAATCTGTGGAACTGCTTTGCTGGATTGCGTTCCTGTTCCACAAGACGCCTAAATTAAAGATTTCTTGAATTAATTTCTTTTCATTCGTTCGCAAATTATTTTATGCCTTCTTGGGGAAGAAGATTATATCACATCAGCCAGATGTGATATAATGTTGGGACTTTCAGCATGTGCGATAACCTCTCATTTTGGTATATTCAGAAAGCGCAGATTGAAACTAATAAAATAGCATTTTTTTGCGGAAATTACTTTTCCCAATTTCGTACTGAAAATTTGCAGAAAAAGCGCTTAAAAATTTTTGTAAAGAGGTTTTGAGAAAAACGACAAAGCTCCCAAACGTTAAGAGGCCAAGTTAACAAAATGGCATGTCGTCCGGCACTGATATGTCGCTTTCAGCCATGGTATGATAAGATGTAATAAGTAAGGAATGGTCAATCACGCTTTTCTAGTCTGAAACCCAACGCACTATCAAAACAACTATAACAAGACTACGTTTTTTTTTTTTTTTATATTGAACATTTTCTCTTAATTCTTACCATATATTTGTACAAGTGCTTGAAGAGCTTGAAATATAATATATAATCTTGTACATATATATGTATAAAAAATAAGCATTTATCTCCCCTTGTACATCTCCTGAATAGTTTTATACAATTTTTATAGACCTGGCGTTCGATTTTACCCTATTTTTCAAAATTTTCTCTTAATTCTTATCATATATTTTTCAAAATCGAAATATAATATATTTATTTTATTTGATAGATATCGACTGATTATAAGTACTCGATTTAATATTCCGCTCTTGCTGGATAAATGTGCTCATAGTGTTAAAGGTGAAGTTTATGAAGTGGATGAAGAAATGTTTAAAAAAATTAGATGAATTAGAAGAGTATCCAGAATATTACGATCGTGATATACAAGAAATAAGAATGGAAAAAAAGGATGAGTAAGTTCAAGCAGATTTATTCTTGAGATACGATTATTGTTTTTTTTTTTTAACGATTTGCGATCCTAACTTACAACGGATGGGTTTTTCAAACGGACGCCGCCAAATGGTAGAAATGGATGAGTTATATTAGAGATGAAAGGATCTTCATCTGTTTGCATTACTTGGATGTATGATGCTTTCTCTTTCCGTTTCTGGAATGTCGTGCAGCTTTAATTGTCGTCAAACGCTTACAAAATTTAACCCTTTCTTTAGTGCAATCCAGTAATTGATTAAGAAAGAAAGAAAGAGGAAACATTTGATTGATTGGATTCATTGATTACTTCGGAAGATGAGTTGTTTTTCCGCCGAAGAATACATGAATAAATTTTCCGCATACATTGCTGTATTTATCAAACTACGTAAACAAAAGAATCATATGCAATAAATCGCATTGTTTGCACACGTCCATGCGTACGTAACCGTGTCAGCAACCTGTCGTTTGAATGGAAAGAAAAAAAAAAAAAAAACAAGAGTAAAGCGTGGATATTTGATATGTTAAATCAAAAAAATTCTATTTAGCTCTTCCATCTTCAATTTGTATACATATATGCCTGTGCTCCAGCTATGATTATGATAGCTATTTAAACTTGTTGAACTCCTTGAACTCCTTTTTTGCATTGCATAGAAACAAATTACTTCTAATTTCTTAGCTAATGAGTTTATAAAATAACAAATTGAAAAAATCGGCTTTACATTGCTTCGAATGAAGATTATGTTTACCTGCACAAATATAATACAAATGCATTTCGAAAATGCATACATTCGTATATACGTTTAAAACATTGGCTCCCTTGCATACCGTTGAGCGCCATCTTTAATTATTATGTGTGGCATTCATTTCAAAAAAAACGAAAAAAAAAAAGAAGAAACAACCGAACGAAACCAACGTACATGCACAGAGAAGCTAAACAAAAATTCAAATCATTCGTTAAGAACTCATAGACAACAACGGACGGGATTGAACGGAACGGATAGGTCTCGGATAGTAGAGTGCGAATAGTTCGGGCGCGAATGTATTTTCTATGCTTGCTTTGCTTGTTTGTGCGCGTTTTTGTTCAGAGAAACGATAAAGTAAGGTGTTTGTTTGAGAGCTTAAGCAGAGAAAAACGACGAAAAGAAGAAACTAGGCTTAAAGCATAAACCAAAAACAAAAAAAAAAGAATATAAACCAAACAAAAAATAAAAAAGAAAAAAAAAAAAGAAAATAAAGTCAAGAAAAGAGAAGTTTCAAGTGTCTTGTGTGACTCAATGATATTACTTAAGAAAATTAAATGATCTTTTCTGGACGCGAGAAAGAGAGCAAAGATCTCTGCTTGAAATAAGAAAAATAACTAACTTCTTACGAGCTTTTTTTTTGCTGTTATTGTTGTTGTTCGTATTGAGCATCTCCAGACACTCGTCGTCGAGACCGTATCTGTATTTGACGAAAGGAAGAAAGTCAGAGGTATTATTATATGGTGTGCATAGTTGATGAGAAAGCGTTTTAAGATCAAGTTGTTGTGGATTTTATAAGAATAAAAATATATATGTAAACGGAAGATGTCTTTATTATATTATACTATTAAGTTGATTTAAAAAAAAAAAACGAAACGGCAAGAGCAAAAAAAAAAAAAAAAAAAAATTAAACACAAAAGAACAAATAATTAAAGTAAAAATATTTAGAAAAAATTTAAATCGCAAACAGTATAAGCTTAGGGTGTGGTACACTTTTTATATATATATATATATATATAGTTATATGCATATAGGTATTGTTCTATATACACATATAAATATATATATATATATATATAAATCTTGAATAAATTTGTATAATCTTTAGATCTCTACATTCCCTAGATATAGAAATAGTGTCGCTATTAATTATTAACGAGTGCATATTGAGTGTGTATCATCAATCATCATCATTATCGTTCTCATCATTGAAAAGAAAACAAATCAAAACGTCGTTGCTCACTATTCGTTAAAATAATTGCAATTAATAGAAACTGTAGATCATTTAACGGTACAAACATGAACGTATCCATTAGTAGCAATATAAATTTGTGGTATACCGCGTGTATCCTATTGTTGAGCTTTTTGGCTAATAAAAGTACACATGCGCAGCGAACACCAACAATATCATATATATCGCAAGAGCAGATTAAGGATATTGGCGGCACTGTAGAATTCGAATGTTCCGTACAATATGCGAAAGAGTATTCAGTTCAATGGACCAAAACTGATGGTGAACCTGTTTTCTTATCATCCGGCTCAACATTAGTTATGAGAGATTCACGTTTCGCATTACGTTATGAACCTAGCGCTTCCACGTACAGACTGCAAATTAAGGACATTCAGGAAACTGATGCCGGCACTTATACATGCCAAGTGGTTATATCAGTGGTAAATAAAGTTAGTGCAAATGTGAAATTATCTGTACGTCGTCCACCGGTTATCTCTGATAATTCAACGCAATCGTTAGTGGCTAGCGAAGGTAGTGAAGTACAAATGGAATGCTATGCCAGTGGTTATCCCACGCCAACTATTACCTGGCGTCGTGAGAATAACGCCATTTTACCAACAGGTAATTACATATAAATAGATAGCATTTTCATGAATTTTTCATTTACTCATATCAATACATACATACATATTATATATATTGTGTTCGAGCAACCACCGGACCTGTGTTCAAAATGAACTAGGTATTAAGTAGAAGGGCTTAATGACAAGTTTCTTTTTTTTATAGTGCGTTTTTAAATAAATAGTGGAAAATATTACATATGTGTACACATTTAATATGCATAAGTATTTGTTGAGTCACCCACTGTGACCAAACTAAAAAATAACAGTCATATAATCCAACCAAGCAGAAAACAAAAAAAAAAAAAATAATGAAATAAAAACGAGAGGCTAAACAAGTTTCGTGACTCCCGCTTATTCTCATTTTCTACGTTTACCTTTTCTCGTCTCTTTCTTTGTTGCAGTAAACCTGAATATTCGCTACAAACTTGGCTTACATTCAATTATTTGTTATTGATTGCGCATAAAACAAAGACAAGTGAGAAAATATTATTACAAGCGAAGAATTAAAACGACCTCTAAACACCCGTCATCCATTACCTAATTGAAAGAAATCTATTGCTAAGCACAGTTAGACGGAAAAAGTATTTATTAAATTAATATAATATTTGTTTAGGTGAACAGACTAGGCCCGTTAACAATAAGACCTATATATCCAGTAAGTTGACGAATTTTTAATATAAATTGATTTTTTGAGTTTGTAGTTGATAGCAGCGGCTAAGATGATTTTTTCAGGAAAAATTGGTGATGCAGGTCTCTTTTATTAGGCGACAGGAAGATGAAAAAATCGTCAATTCCGGATTTATTCCCTAAAAATTGATCAAAAGGTTTGCCTGCATTTAATGTTAATTATATAGCGAGATAATAAAAGCAAGTAATAGATAAAAGCGAATCAAATTGAATTAAAAGGAAAAATCAGCAGATTTGACAAAGAAAGTCAACTGTTCGAGATGAACATAATTGCCAGCATGAAGAACTGCCAAAAGGTTATTGTAATGCGGAAAATGGAAAAATGCTGTCTATTGTTGTCAAATATCCTGCATTTGACAACTACGTGCTCAGCTGATAGCGCTGTGCTGCATTCCGCACGAGCGTCAGACGGAATTGCTCGGATCTCTTTTAAGTAGATGTTACGTGCGTATGATTGCTCGTGAATTTGTGGAGTATTTTAATTTCCCATGTGGAAAATTTGGCATCGGACTGGGGTTCAAATGTCGTGAAGAGAAGAATATTACAAAAGAAACGATCACTTTTGAGCTCGCACTATTTCATCCTTCCATTGCTGTGTGATATTTGTCCGAATTAGCCGAAAAGCATCAACGGGGGGCATATTTGATAGAAAGCGTTGTATCATCATATCGAACTTCCCCTGCGTCTATAGCAGCCTTTTCATTTAAGCTAAAACCATAGGGTTTCAGTAGCCACATCCATCAATAAGCGGATCAATTAAAATGTTATAGATTTTAAAAACATCCATGTTGTGCGGATCTTTGTTTTTGATTGATACAGTGGCCGATTTTCTCTCAGCAAAGACAACAAATTTTTTATTGTTCTTCGATTTGGCCAAAAAAAGCGTTGCTTACAATTTACAGCTGTTTTAGTCATACTACGTTCCCAACATGATGGATGATGGAAACATTTGAATCAGAATCAGCATTGGTTTAAAAGACGTTAAGGTGATTCTAGTCTGTCGAGAAAATAAATCTGTAGATGGTTTGCTACGGATACAGACGATGCTGAACGCTCTGATTGCATAAAATCGACAGCAGTTGTTCCGATAAACATGTCGAAAAAATAGTTTTGGAGGACTATAAAGTGAAATTGCTAAAGATAGTTGACATCTAAATCTAAAAGCAGGATATTCACTATTTTCCTTGAGCATTTGTCCATGGAAAAGTTCTGTTCAAACTCGGATTCGCCTTTGCTTACTTTTCATGCTGTTAGTATGTAGGTGAACCATACCATGCGGTATGGGATAATGGATGAAACGTGGATTCATCACAACACTTCAGAGTCAAATCGTTAGTCAGGCGAGTGGGAGAGGAACCAGCAAGAAGCCTTCTAAAGCGATCAAAAGAATTATGTCACTAAAGAAATTATGTTACTAAATGTCATGAAATTTTGGCGGGTACCGGCTAAAATTTGGTACTACTAAGGAGTCGTGGGCTTATCGATACTGTTGTCACTTCTGTGTCAGACCAGAGAATTATTGAGTGATTTTTTTACTTTCCACGGAAAAAGATTTTTCGCCCTCAAATTAGCTCCAGTTTCTGAATTGAAGTTCGCCTGAGTTGGAGTTTGAATTATCTAAACAACTTGCAACATCTTAAGCAGATGTTTGCCTTTAGGCTTTATGTCTTCATAATGTTCACATGCAAAGGCGAAGATCACTTTCTTTGCCATTATCCATTTTACGTATACTTTGCCAGTTCTTATAACACTCGTCAACACAACGTCAATAAAAGACCTGCAGTTTTTGATGAGGAAGTAAGAACAAGATTACAAATGTTGCGTTAAATTTATGTAATTATTATGCTGTAAGATAAACGTAAAGAAGGCCATCACAGCAATAATTTACTGATAATATTGGATTTATAATAGCAATTTCTCGTGCAGGCCATATGTTCCGAAGTCCAGAAAACCAAAATTCTAATATCAAAAAGTCATCCACAAGCAATGTGTTCCCCACATTTTGTATTTAAATGCTTTTTATAAGTGATGAAAGGTTATTCAAAAAAAAAAAAAAAATTGAAAACAGGTTTATACGCTTCTAGATTATTATGATTTTCTCATAGGTCTTTAGGTTATTTCGCGGAAGGTATGGACATCTTACTGACATGTATAGCATGTATATGGGGTATGTGACAAGATCTCTTATGTAAATCGATTTTTAAAAAGGTATTTTCCTTGCACCTTTGTTACCACATTAAACCCGTCTAGATTTTCCTGATCGTTGATCGTTAACCTTGATGAATGAAGGGAATTTCTCCCGTCACGGCCAGGCTACAATAGCCATATGTTAAAATTAAAATAATAAATCGTTCCGGTAACCATTTTGCTTGCTCTCTAAGGTACATGAAACCTGATCTTATTTTTGTAAAGCTGTTACCCTTTGAAAATTGATGGTTGACATGAATTTTCTCAGTTTCGTGGCCGTCATAGATCCATATATATGTTCATTAACCGAAAATAAGCAAAATTTTCATACATTTTGATCGATAGTTTACATTCTTCAGCAGATTTTAATTATCGAAAAGTCTCTTAAGGAAGATCATCTCTCTAATCATCTGTGCCGATACGATCGATCATTTCGGACTTGAATTAAAATTTTGTTTTTTTTATTTGCTTGCTTTTCTACCTGCAGAGGATTTAGTTTTTTAGTTACATTGTCCGTTTGTTTTATTAGACGCTATACTACTTGTTGTACAAGGCTATATTAAGTTTGTTCAAATGTATGTAACACTCAGAAGAAGTTAGACCCAACTTTTATACTTACCGTCGATTCGGAATTACATTCGCAACTAGACTAGATTTTGAATTGATTTTGTCTGTCCGTCTGCAGTCAAACTACAGGTCGCAGGGATCGAATCACTTGTTCGATCACTTTCCATATAATGTTTCATTTTGAGGAACTTGAAATAGTTCAGCTGGCTTGTCTGTCTATCCATCCTCTACTTAACCAGCTACGGGTTGCAAATTTTGGAGATATTTTAATGAAATTTGATAAACTCATATGCTGTGATCGGACCACTTACCATATGAAGTCCTATTTTGAAAAGTAGTCCTATGAAATGGCGTTGACCTGATTGAGCAGCGATGTTAAGCGAAGTAGCGCAGAGTATTTAATATATTGCCCATACATATGTATATTTAAGAGTAAAAAGGATTCAGCTTTTCTAGTTACATTTTCCATTTGCTTTCATTTCATGCTCTAGAGCAGCTTTTCATCACATATACAAAATGTTATTCCTCTTCGATACCCTTATCTGTGTAAAGTAGAAAGTTTTTTGAAAAACTCTTTCATAGTATTATTTTCCCCACTAAATAGCACTGATTACGGTAGTGGCAAAAAATTTCAAGTATTTTTTTCCAATATTGTGCGTGATTTGCTTAAAACACCGTAAAATATGCCGTATAAACAAATTTCAATTTTAAGTGAAATTGATTCTAAAGAATTTTGCAACACCCTCAACTTTATGTTATATGCTAATGGGTTCGAATGAATGACTCGCTGAATGCTAAATGAATTTTAAAAAGAGGGCTTCGGCCACTATCCTCACACTACGCGCTGCTTGCATGCATAATGTCTAATTTTTATGCAAGAGTGACGATAAGAGTACTTTTGAAAATTGCTTATTAGATGTGTTAAAAAGAAATTTAATTAAATTAAATGTTTTTTCCTTTTTTTTTTTTTAACACTTGCGCCATATCCACATACACATGCACATATGTGTGTGTTTATTTAGCAGAAATGAAAAATCAGTCAACTAAACGGAATAGTCTGATATTAAAAATTATTATTAAATTGAATTGAATAATAAGAGAGAGGATTAGTTAAAAATGTATGATATGAAAATATTAAAATTATTTCAAATATATATATATATATTTTATTTTTCAACTGCGTTCATTCATTTGTGCCCGAAATATCAAAATGTGATTTATATAAATTTCTGTGATTTTGCGTAAAATTTTTTTCAACCAATTAACCTTGTGCTGAGGGGTTCCGGGAATGCACTGAGTATCAAATTTATTCATGTATTCATCATAAACTTGTTTTTTTTTTTTTTTTTTTACAAAAGACTTAACTGATAAATGACTCTGCAAACGTTTACATTTTTCAAAGCAAGAACACTGTGCAACAGCGAAAAATTGCGTTATATTCCCACTCAGTTTCTATGAAGCAGATGAAAAATGATTGAACAAATGAAAATTTATTCATTGAAGTGACTTTTTTTTGTTTTTTTTGAAAGTTCATAGTCAATAATTATTAATTATGCC